TACCCATACCCAGACGTACTCATACGCAGACTTACGCATACACAAACTTACTCATACTCAGACCAACTCATACTCAGACCTACTCATACTCAGACTTCTTCAGACTTTGAATATGTCTCAGGCGGGGCGCTGGTTTCAGCACCCCTGAGGGGAGCCGCCAGGGGTGCTTTCACGGGCCCGTTCGCAGCCAGGTTGTGGGGATGTCTCAGGCGGTCTGCTGTTTGTCATGCCCAACACCATTGGTTTTCAGAGCAGCTTGTGGGGGATATCTCAGGCGGGGCGCTGGTTTCAGCACCCCTTCAGAACAGATTGTGAGGATGTCTCGGGCGGGGCGCTGGTTTCAGCACCCCTAAGGGGAGCCGCCAGGGGTGTTTCCACGGGCCCGTTCGCGGCCAGTTTGCGGGGATGTCTCATGCGGGTTGCTTCTTTTCATGCCCAACACCTTTTGCTTTCAGAGCAGATTGCGAGGATGTCTCATGCGGGGCGCTGGTTTCAGCACTCCTAAGGGGGGCCGCCAGGGGTGTTTTCACGGGCCCGTTCGCGGCCAGTTTGTGGGGATGCCGCAGGTGGCTTATGTTTTTCATACCCAACACCCTTTGCTTTCAAAGCAGATTTTGAGGATGTCTCAGGCGGGGCGCTGGTTTCAGCACCCCGTCAGAGCAGATTGTGAGGATGTCTCAGGCGGGGCGCTGGTGTCAGCACCCCTAAAGGGAGTCGCCAGGTGTGTTTTCACGGGCCCGTTCGCAGCCAGTTTGCGGAGATGTGTCAGGCGGTTTGTTCGTTCTCATGCCCAACACCCTTTGCTTTCCGAGCAGACTGTGAGGATGTCTCATGCGGGGCACTGGTTTCAGCACCTCTGAGGGGGGCCGCCAGGGATGTTTTCATTGGCCCGTTCGCGGCAAATGTGTGGGACTGTCTCAGGCGGGTTGCTCGCTTTCATGCCCAACTCCCTTGGTTTTCAGATCAGATGTTGAGGATGTCTCAGGCGGGGCGCTGGCTTCAGCACCCCTAAGGGGAGCCGCCAGGGGTGTTTTCACGGGCACGTTCGCGGCCAGTTTGTGGGCACGTCTCAGGCGGTCTGCTCGTTGTCATGCCCAAGTTCTTGGTTTTCAGAGCGGATGTTGAGGATGTCTCAGGCGGGGTGTTGGTTTCAGCACCCCCTAAGGGGAGCCGCCAATGGTGTTTTCACGGGCCCGTTCGCGGCCAGTTTGTGGGGATGTCTCAGGCGGTTAGCTGGTTCCACATATCCTAAGATGGGGTTCTTGTTATTCCCCATATCCTAAGATGGAGTTCTTGTTATTACTTGGGTGCCCTACTCCCTCTTCTCCTCCCCCCCCTCCTCTCGGACTTACTCATACTCAGGCTTACTCATACCCAGACTTACTCATACACAGACTTACTCACACTCAGACATAATCATGCGCATACCTACTCATATTCAGACTTACTCATACCCAGACGTACACATACACAGACTTACTCATACACATACTTACTCATACCCACACTTACTTTGACCCAGACGTACGCATACATGGACTCACTCATACACAGGCTTACGCATATTCAGACCTACTCATACTCAGACCTATTCATATTCAGACTTACTCATGCTGATACGCATCCATGCCCAGACTTACTCATACCCAGTCTCGTTCCCATACGTACTTACTCATACTCAGGCCTACTCATACTCAGGCTTACTCATGTTGAGTCCCACTCATACCCAGGCATACTCATACTCAGTCTCGTTCCCAGACACACTCATACACAGACTTACTCATACCCAGACCTACTCATACTCAGACCTTCCCATAGTCAGACTTACTCATACGCAGACTTATTCAACACAGAAGATTTGGAGTATGTCTCAGGCGTGGCGCTGGCTTCAGCACCCCACAGGGGAGCCGCCAGGAGTGTGGGGTGTTTTCACGGGCCCGTTCGCGGCAAGTTTGTGGGGATGTCTCAGGCGGTTTGGTTGTTTTGGTGGGCAGACTCGTCTGCGTTTAGAGCAGCTTGTGAGGATGTCTCAGGCGGGGCGCTGGTTTCAGCACCCCGAAGGGGAGCCGCCAGGGGTGTTTTCACTGGCCCGTTCGCGGCCAGTTTGGGGGGATATCTCAGGCGGTCTGCTCGTTTTCATACCCAACATCCTTGGCTTTCGGAGCAGATTTTGAGTATGTCTCAGGCGGGGCGCTAGGTTCAGCACCCCTAAGGAGAGCCGCCAGGGGGGAGGACATGCTATTATAGTCGAGCGCTCATGAACAGACACTTACTATGGCATGACATAAACATGGGATGCGCATATGGGGAGCTCCACGCAGTAAGTAATTGTTGTTGTTGTTGTGGTTGTTGTTGTTGTTGTGGTTGTTGTTGTTGTTGTTGTTGTTGTTGTTGTGGTTGTTGTTGTTGTTGTTGCTGCTGTTGTTGTTGTTGTTGTTGAACATTATTAATTCTAAAGAATAATTATTGTTGGGACCCCTGGTGCACGGCCCCCCTGCGCCGCCTAGGCCGCAGCTACATTTTCATCATTTTCATGAGGAAGCCTCAGGTAATTCGATGTGATCAAGATCCGGTTGTTTTGTTCCCCCCCGCTTTCCCTTGCAAAAAACACTATAAAATGACATTTCTTGTTCTAATATAATCAAATTTCAAGAATCCCTTGCAAAAAATAAGGTAAAGTGGACATTCGCGCGCGCAAGACGAAATCCTTCCAAAAGCTTAGTGTTCGGAGCGATTTTAACATAAAAACATCAAAAAACCAATGGTTTTTCAACAAAAAAATGTCAAAATCTCATCCCGCGCGCTCTTGCGGATTCGTAGGAAAACCCAACACTTTTTAAACATTTCTGTCAAACGGGCTTTTGCGAGCAACTTTTTCGAACTTCTGCGACAACGGTTGCGCACCTGCCAGGGCCATCATCCCTGTCAAATAATACCATGCGGGACACATTCGTTTTTTCTTCGCGCGCGCACGCCGAAATCTCCAAAAACCATTGGGCTTCTTAAGAATTTTAGCACCGCGCATCATAAAATCACACGAATCGCACCGTAGGTCCTCGAAAAACACCTGCACGACTTTTCAAAATTTCTACCCGCGCGCGCTGTCCTAACAACTTCTGTGGGTGTGTACTCCACGCCAGTGTAGTAGCCACGGTCGTCCGCAGGCCACGAAGTGAAGTGTCCGAACGTCATAGGGCGGGAAGCTGGGTGTGGGTGGTGGCGAAGAGTCGTGTGGATATTTGGTAGAGCTTGACTGCCCCCCCACAAAGTGGGGGTATTGGCTGGCGTCGCATGAAAACCCTGGCACTGGTGAGAACACTGAGCGTTCGGGTAAAGTGATTGTTGAACATTATTACTTCTAAAGAATAATTATTGTTGGGACCCCTGGTGCACGACCCCCCTCCAAAACCTAGGCCGCAGCTACATTTTCATCATTTTTCTGCGAAAGCTTCAGAAAAGTGGATTGTCACCGGATCCGGTTTTTTGTTGACGCCGTTTTCCCTTGCAAAAAACACTATAAAATGAAAATTTCTTGTTCTAATTAATCAAATTTCAAGAATCCCTTGCAAAAAATAAGGTAAAGTGGACATTCGCGCGCGCAAGACGAAATCCTTCCAAAACTTAGTGTTCGGAACGATTTTAACATAAAAACATCAAAAAACCAATGGTTTTTCAACAAAAAAATGTCAAAATCTCATCCCGCGCGCTCTTGCGGATTCGTAGGAAACCCAACACTTTTTAAACATTTCTGTCAAACGGGCTTTTGCGAGCAACTTTTTCGAACTTCTGCACAACGGTTGCGCACCTGCCAGGGCATCATCCCTGTCAAATAATACCATGCGGGACACATTCGTTTTTTCTTCGCGCGCGCACGCCGTCGTCGTCGGCCGCGGGGCCCTGAATAGTAGCCACGGTCGTCCGCATGCCACGAAGTGAAGTGTCCGAACGTCATAGGGCGGGAAGCTGGGTGTGGGTGGTGGCGAAGAGTCGTTTGGAAATTTGGTAGAGCTTGAACCGGCCCCCCCACAAAGTGGGGGTATTGCCCGCCTCCTATGAAAACCCTGGCACTGGTGAGAACGGAGTGTCCCCAGTCTTAAATGATTGTTGTTGTTGTTGTTGTTGTTGTTGTTGTTGTTTGTTGTCTTCGTCCTCCCTGCGACCTGGCCCGCGATCCACCCGCGACCCACCCGGGACCCACCCGCGGCCCACCCGCGACCAACTCTCGGACCACCTCGCGACCCGGCCCGCGATCCACCCGCGACCCACCCGCGACCCACCCGCGACCCGGCCCGCGACCCAACCGCGACACAGCCCGCGACCCACCCACACGGCTTCAACAAAAAAAATCGTTGCCTGCGGCGGGCTCACTGCATAATGTTTTAAAGTTAGGCGCCTGCGGCGGGCTTCGTCAGAGCCTCGCAGACTGCCAACGTCCTCGCTGCCCCCTCTTATCCGCACACTGCGGGGTGCTACGTACAACAGAAGTCTCGACTCAGTTTCCGGGATTGGCTTTTCATCCTGCGTCATGCTTTGATGGTCCAGGGGCCCGGCGAGGGCACCAAGAGGCTGAAAATACCAAACACCTTCCGTCGTGATTTTTGTCACGACTCCAGGAGGTCAGGGGTTGGGGTTCTTGTTTTTGTTTTCTATTCTTTTTTTTTTCTCTCTCTCTCTCTCTCCCTCTCCCCGTCTCTCTCTCTCTCTCCTGCTCCGGGAGGTGGAAGGCCCGCTTCCCGCAGTGGCCGCCGTCGGACGCCTCCCCTGTGACCCCGATCGAGCCGTGGGGGAAGCAGTTCTTCGCTTAGCTGCCCTCGTGCGCCTGTTTCGAATCGCAGCGCGTCCCGTGCTCAAAACGCCTGGGCCCAACACGCTGCGTGTTCTGTTGGCCCGGCACGTGCGGGCCCACGTTCTGGCGAACGTATCGCGCCAGGCCTGCGCTTCCGATCTGCGTGTTGAGCTCCGCGTCAGCACGCGACGGGCAGCGCATCGGGGCACCTAAGGTTCTTCGTGTACAACGCGCCTCCCGGCGTGGAGATCCGGGGTGACCCGCGCGCCCCACCCTTGGACGACGTGCGGCCGGCGTGGGTCCGGGACGAAGACGCCGCGTCGATGCTCAGGGAGGACGAGGACTTCTCCCTGCTGGGCAACGGCCGCCGCACCAACCCCGCGAGCAGCTCGATGGACAGAAGGGCGGCCGTGAAGGCCGTTGCGAATGGCGACGAGACAGTGGTCTGCGTCACGGACTTCAGGCAGCGCCCCATGCTGTGGCTCCAGCCGGAGGAGATCGACGAGAAAGAGCAAGTTACGTGAACTCAAGTTTTGGGAGGTCCGTGCCTGTTTCTCAGATCCGCGCTGGGCCCCCCTTCATTGGCGCGCGGAGCGCGCCAGGGGCGGCGCCGGCAGCGCCGCCAGGGAGGCCTGGCGCCGATGCAAGATTTCCGCGCGGACCTCCGAATATTCATGTTGGTGTACAGTCGGGCCGCTGAAGAAGGAGGCTGAAGAAGGAACCCTTTGCGTTGGGGGCCTGGCTCAGTGTGTTCCTCAACTGCTTTCCAGGTCGTCTTACGTGTCCCTCAGGTTTCTTATGGGAGATCGAAGCGTATGGAAGAATGGGGCCTCGCTCCTTATTTGGGGCGTTCCAAAAAAGGGCCGTGCCTTCGAGGATCGAAGAAATTGTTATCTCTTCCTCGGCGGAAGGCGGCGGAAGGGCGGCAGAAGGTCGGCGGAAGCGAAGCGAGGCCGCCTCCGCCAGCGCAAGCTGGCGGAAGGTTGGCGGAAGTAAGAGATGCGCGCCCAGGAGATGAAAACATGGTTGTGTTCAGGGTTTCCGAAATCGCCTATTTAGGGCTCCTTGTGACAGCGTTTATACTGTAGCTGCCTTTTCCTCCCAGGAGTGGGCCGAGCTGCTGAAGATGCTGCCGTCCCTCCGCCAGCAGCTGCGCACGGCCGAGAGGGCGGTGGAGGAGCTCGACGAGAAGGGCGCCCTGATGCGGGACTACAACTTGCGCAGGTTGTCTCCCCTCCTCCTCCTCCTCCTCCTCTTCCTCCTCCTTCTCCTCCTCCTCCTCGTCCTCCTCCTCCCCCTCCTCCCTTCCCCTCCTCCCCTCCTCCTCCTCCTCCTCCTCCTCCTCCTCGGCCTCCTCCTCACGCCCTCCTCCTCCTCCTCTCCTCCTCTCCTCCTCTTTTCTCCCCTCCTCCTCCTCCTCCTTCTCCTCCTTCCTCCCTCGTCTCCGCCGCTTCTTCTCTTTTCTTCTCCTCCTCCTCCTCCTCCTCCTCCTCCTCCTTCTCCTCCTCCTCCTCCTCCTCCTCCTCCTCCTCCTCCTCCCTGCTCGTTGGAGCTGCGGATGCGATTCTGAACTGAGCTGGACCTCCTGCTCGGGCTCCGTGCCCTTGCAGGAGGCATCCAAGTCTGCGCCTCCTCCTCTTCCTCCTCGTCGTCGTCGTCGTCCTCCTCCTCCTCCCAAAGCACTGGCCTGCCCTGCCCTCCCAGTCTCCTGCCCTCCTCGGCGGCGAGCGAGGGGGGAAGTGAAAAGGAAAAGGCCTTTCTCACAGAAGGCGGCGGGACTTCTCAGAAGCCCCCGCGCCTTCTGAGAAGGTTTCGGTGTCTTCGGGGAGGGCCTCGGCCATTTCTCCGAAGGCCGGGGACTTCCAAGCCTTCCGAGAAGGCCCACCCCTTCTCACTTCCCCCCGGGGCTCGCCGCCGATTCTCTCCCCCCCCTTCTTCTTCTCATGAGTGCAGTGGTGCACATTGGTGGCGCCTCGGGTCCCTGGGTGGAGTTGCCGTTCGGGGCGACGTTTTTCCTTGCAGCGCTTGCAACTGCCAGCGCTGCTGCCTTCCAGCTGAATCATGCTGTCCGCCCTTAGCTGTAGGAAGTACAAGCGAACCTTCGCAGGCAACAGATCGTGGACAAGCACAGGGACAAGAGGATCGGTAGGATGGGCTACGGAGACTTCCGCCGGCCCTACGAGACCGGCAAGGTCGGGCCCAAGGCGCGGGCGCGCTTGGTGAAGACCACGAAGGATCGAAGAAGACAAATTCACAGAAGCACGAATTTTCGGAGGTCTGCGTGCAATGCTTGCGTGGGCGCTTGCGCCCCCTCCCACCCCCTCCAGGCGCCGCCCATGGCGCGCTCCACGCGCCAGGGAGGTGTGTCCAACGCCGATCCAAGAAATCCCCGTGGACTTCCGAAGGTGCGTGCTAATCCCCAACCGCTGCTTTCATTTAGAGGTTCTTACATAGCTCTCCGACGAGATGAATGATTCTGTCGGGGTGTAGTCAGTTGCCCCGTCGACGCCGCCTCGTTGCCGCCTCGTGCGTTAAGTGGGCGTGTCGGGCGTTCGTCCGTTGTCCCGTTGACGCCGTATCGCTGCCGCCTCGTGCGTTGGGTGGGTAATTATGTCGGGTTTTCGGCTGTTGCCAACTTGATGCCGCCTCGTTGCCGCATCGAGCGCTGGGTGGGTGTGTCGGGGTTTGGGCTGTTGCCCAGTTGGTGCCGCCTCGTTGCCGCCTCGTGCGCTATGACTGGGTTTCGGCTGGTGCTCGGTTGGTGCCGCTTCGTTGACGCATCTCTCGCCACATAGCTTGGACCACATAGTTCGCACATCCATAGTGCCATACCTTGTTGTTTCGGGATCTGCGCCTGCAAACATGCTATCTGCCTAGATGCTGATTGAGGTGGAGGACGAAAAGTAGGAGGAGGGGAGAAAGAAAGGAGAAGGAGGATGAGGAGGATGAGGAGGAGGGAACGGAGGGGGAGGAG